CCTTGAACCTTTCAACATTTCGCCACATTTCAGGCTTCAAACATAAAGATATAACATTTATTTTTTTGTCATGAATCAACAACAAGTGGGACACAATCGTGAAGTGGAACGAAATTTATTGGATAATTTAAACTTTTTTAACAAATAAAAAACTGAAAAGTGGGGCGTGCAATATTATTCGGCCCCTTTACTTTCAGTGCAGCAAACTCAGTCCAGAAGTTCAGTGAGGATCTTTGAATGATCCAATGTTGTCCTAAATGACTGATGATGATAAATAGAATGCACCTGTGTGTAATCAAGTCTCCGTATAAATGCACCTGCTCTTTGATAGTCTCAGGGTTCTGTTTAAAGCGCAGAGAGAACCATGAAGACAAAGGAACACACCAATTTGAGGCGAGATGTTGATGGTCCGTTTTGTCACATGTGGGTTTTAAGAGTCAAAGTTTTGTGCAAAGTTTAGTTTAAGCAGTCAACTGCTCCTGTGAAACCACAAAGCTAATGTTTTCATAGCAGCCTCCGCAGCTGCTGACGTAGGCTGATGACGCGTCCTGTGGCCACTCTACAGCTTACAACTGGTCTGTCGGGTTGATAATGGAAATAATAAATTTAATTTAATACATGTATCGTACTGTATTCAATATGATTAACAATAGTGTGTTAAAACAAAATATTTAATTAGATCGATTTTTTTCCCCATTTTCCATTATCAACCCGACAGACCAGTCATCAGCCTACGTCAGCAGCCGCGGACTGCTATGAAAACATTAGCTTTGTGGTTTCACAGGCGCAGTTGACTGCTTAAACTAAACTTTGCACAAAACTTTGACTCTTAAAACCCACATGTGACAAAACGGAACCATCAACATCTCGCCTCAAATTGCATTAAAAGTGACATTCGTGTCTTAATTCGTTCGTATTTTAACTTTTAAAGAAATTCACGGTCCGCCATCTTGGTTTGCTTCGGCTGCCGTGGGACGCGCATGCGCAGGTTTGCATTACATCATAAACAGCTGAGGCAGTGCATCTCTTCAAGGCAGTGTATCTCGGCGTTACACCGGATTTAGATACAAAAAGATTTCCCAAGCTTTACACATCTCAAGGACTAAATTCATGGTTTTCGGAAAGAACAAAGAAAACATAACCTTAAAACTCAGCATTGATCATGTTGAATTATCACAAGTAGATGAAATCAAATTTCTTGGTGTGATTTTAGACAAGAAATTCTGCTGGAAACCCCATATAAAACACATCCAGTCCAAGCTAGTGCGGTGGATCGCTATCATGGGCAAAACTAGGAATGTTTTAAGCCAAAAGGCTTTACAGATACTATACAACGCATTTTTCTTGCCATATCTGAATTACTGTGTCGAGGTGTGGGGTAACACCTACAAAACAAATATCCATCCGGTCACAATCCTGCAGAAAAAAGCTGTAAGAATAGTAAACAATAAAAGTTATCAACATCACACAAATGCTCTGTTCCTACACATGAGAACGCTCAAGTTCATTGATATTGTTAAATTCAAAACAGCACAAATTATTTTTAAATCTCAAAATAAGTTACTTCCGGGTCACATTCAGGCATTGTTCTCAGAGAGGGAAGGGAAATACAATCTAAGAGGAAAGCTAAACTTTAAAGTAAAATATGCAAGAACAACTATGAAAGGTTTCAATGTTTTTATTGGTGGCGTTAAACTATGGAACAGTCTGTCAGAGGAATTAAAACAAAGCAGCACCATTCTGCACTTCAAAAGTTTATATAAAAAACAACTAATTGAGGAATACAGTAAAGAAGAATGAGGTTTTGCCCAGTAGGCTCCATGACCGAACACATGAAGAGTATAATGGTGTGTATATGTTCGTATGAGTATGTATGTATATGTGTATAGATATGTGTGTGTGTATGCGTTAAACTACATACACACATTTAATCTTGTATTTACCTTTTCAGAGAAATATATGTTATTGTTTGTTTGTACACTTGTAAATTTTACACCATTTCCCTTGTTTCCACATAAATAACGTATTTTGTAAATGAGGGGTAGGACCATATAAGCTTTTGCTTCTTCCTACTCCCTTTTGAACATGTGAATGGATTAGAAATTTTGGTTTTGTTTTACGGCTTATGTAGGAAGTATGCACACATGTTTCAAAATAAACTAAACTGAAACTGAAACTGAAACTGAAAGGAGCACTGTGCAAGCAATTATATTGAAATGGAAAGAGTTTCAGACCACTGCAAATCTACCAAGACCCGGCCGTCCCTCCAAACTTTCATCTCAAACAAGGAGAAGACTGATCAGAGATGCAGCCAAGAGGCCCATGATCGCTCTGGATGAACTGTAGATAACTACAGCTGAGGTGGGGATGGTGTGTTCAGGGTGATGAGCTGTGTTGCTTTAACGCCAAACATATCGTTTTGCATTGTGGCCAAAAAGTTCGATTTTGGTTTCATCTGACCAGAGCACCTTCTTCCACATGTTTGGTGTGTCTCCCTGGTGGCTTGTGGCAAACTTTAAACGAGACTTTTTATGGATATCTTTGAGAAATGGCTTTCTTCTTGCCACTCTTCCATAAAGGCCAGATTTGTGCAGTGCACGACTGATTGTTGTCCTATGGACAGACTCTCCCACCTCAGCTGTAGTTATCTGCAGTTCATCCAGAGCGATCATGGGCCTCTTGGCTGCATCTCTGATCAGTCTTCTCCTTGTTTGAGATGAAAGTTTGGAGGGACGGCCGGGTCTTGGTAGATTTAGTCTGATACTCCTTCCATTTCAATATAATTGCTTGCACAGTGCTCCTTGAGATGTTTAAAGCTTGGGAAATCTTTTTGTATCCAAATCCGGCTTTAAACTTCTCCACAACAGTATCTAGGACCTGCCTGGTGTGTTCCTTTGTCTTCAGGGTCCTCTCAAAGAGCAGGTGCATTTATACGGAGACTTGATTACACACAGGTGCATTCTATTTATCATCATCAGTCATTTAGGACAACATTGGATCATTCAAAGATCCTCACTGAACTTCTGGACTGAGTTTGCTGCACTGAAAGTAAAGGGGCCGAATAATATTGCACGCCCCACTTTTCAGTTTTTTATTTGTTAAAAAAGTTTAAATTATCCAATAAATTTCATTCCACTTCACGATTGTGTCCCACTTGTTGTTGATTCATGACAAAAAATATTTTTTTTATATCTTTATGTTTGAAGCCTGAAATGTGGCGAAATGTTGAAAGGTTGAATACTTTCGCAAGGCACTGTACAAAGTCTTATTTGCACTAAACTTTAATATTTTGTTCAGCTCTAGGGTTTAGGTCATTTGAAAGTGAAATAAATGAACTTGGCTCATTAGCGCCCCCTAGAGATGGGGTCAAAGTTTTTAGAATGGGAGCGTTTCGAGGTCAAGTTTGCTGTATAGGCATGAAATTTGGTACACATGTTCCTCATCTCAAGACATGAAATAAATGTTATTAAGGGCTCACCCCCTGACAAACAGGAAGCCCATAAATTTCACTTCAAAATGGAAAAATGAAAAATGATCCTTTTCACAGTGTCGGTTGGAAAGCGACTCTTCCTCGGCCTTTTCATCGATTGGCCTCAAATTTGCTCCACATCATCTAAACACATGTACCATCATTTTGATTTCACAGACTTTTGATCAGTGAAATGTTGTTTGAGCAACGGAGCGCCAAAAAGTGTTGTATTTTTTTTTTCAGTTTTTGACAATAGAAAATTGCTTCCGTTTGCACAAACAAAGTCAGATTTGCACAAAACTTGAATCCATGGTTCATCTCTTGGGTCTAGGTCATTTGAAAGTTAACATTTGGAAATTGGCTCTATAGCGCCACCTACAACAGGGGACAGGTTAAGAAGTGTTCAAGAGTCCAACAGCAGAGGGAAGAAAACTAGTTCTTGTGGCGGGAGGTTCTAGTCCTGATGGACCGGCAGCCTCACTGCCTGAGGGGAGTGGTTGGAATAGTCCATGTGCAGGGTGAGAGGGGTCGGCTGTGTTAGACAAGCCCCGGCCTCGAGATTCGGGCGATCGTACAAGTCCTGCAGAGAGGAAGGCTGCGGCCGTTCACTTCCGCTGCAGAGCGCCAAAAGGTATTCACGGCGTAGTCTCTGTTTGTCCCTGACTGTGGCTCAGCGAACCAGAAGGTGATGGAGGAGGTGAGGAGGGACTCGATGATGGCCGAGTAGAATACTGCACCAACATTGTGCAGGCAGCTTGGCTTTCCTGAGCTGCCGGCAGGAAGTACTATCCTCTTCTGGGCCTTCTTGATGAGGGAGCTGCATGTCGGCTCCACTGAGGTCCTGGTGATGGTGGTGCCAGAAACGATGGACTCCTCAGAGGTGTGGGGGAGTCATCACGGGAGGGTGGGGGCGGGGGGACAGTGCTCTTCCTGAAGTCCACAATCATCTCACTGTCTTCTGGGCGTTCAGCTAGGTTGTTACCACTTGCACTGGACACCAGGTCTACTCCCTCCTGATAGGCGGACTCATCGTTGTGGAGCTGAGTCCAATGACGGGTGGTGTGTCCGCGAACTTGGAATCAGCTTCACAGGGAGTCGTGGCTGGAGGTGCAGTGGGTTGGTGTACAGGGAGATGAGCAGGGGAGAAAGAACACAGCCCTGTGGTGCTCCTGTATTTATAATCAGAGAGTCCGGACATTCTGTCTCTTGACGCAAGTTGCTACTCCCTGACTTCTGTCAGGAAGGTCAGCTGATCCACCTGCCCGGTTGAAATCGGGGCACGTTGAGCTGGGAGTTGAATTTTTGGAGACTGAATTTTAAAACATTGAATATTTTGACACTGAATTCTAAAACATTGAATTTTTGGACACTGAATTTTAAAACATTCAATTTATTTACACTAAATACTTTTTTGTTATAGTTTATAAAATTCAAAAGCAAAAAAAAGTGTTGATAATAAAAACACAAAATAACCTTCATAAGCTTAGCTTTAATACATTTCACTTGAAAGGTCCTTAGAAATGTGTCTTACCTGCAGCTTCAGTTCTTGGACCCTCTCTTTAATCTGCAGCGAGTGTTTGGCCTGAGCGACCGGAGCCTCCCACATGCAGTCAGACAACAGAGTGAACAGCCTCTCCGCAACCTACAACACACACAGACCCTTAGACCCTCCTGCATCAGTGAGAACCACTGAACTAGAGTTTCAACGAGCCCGGCCTCATTTGCTCAGCTGTTGGGCCGTGCCGGGCTCCAGCTCCTTTCTTTAATTTTTAGTTTTTTAAGGATTTTTATACATATAAAATATATGCATACATATGCAGTATTTACATATGTTTATTAATAATAATGTCAGTTGATTGACAAAAAGTTACTAAAATAATTTAATATATCAACACGCATCAGCCCTGTTTTTCCTGTTGAATGCTATGGTCAAGAGCGAACACACGAAAAAAATTAATAGAAATGGATCGAGTGGAGGTACAAAACCAATTGAAACCAGATGTTTGGCAACATTCCCAATTCGTGGTTGACAAAAACCAAGTTAGCGTGGGCTTCCACTGTACAAGCCCATGTCCGCACATTACTTAAAGACCTTATGACGGGTTTAAAAAAAAAAAATAGTGGATATCAAAATTGCATGACAATGTCAATTTGAAAGAGATTCCGGCAACAAAAATCCTATATTTTATAAAAAGAACGTGTTTTTCATGAATTTAAGTTGTCTATGCTCTAACCTGTGTGTGACGTCATAGCGGGTTACGCCCATGCATTGAAAACCATGGATCTATGCCACAGGACTGCCTTTTCTCTCTTCTCTCCATTGATGCCCAACACAATACTGCACTCTACAGGTGACAATTGCTCACTACACATAAATTGCCGTTTTGAGTGTGAAAAGGTGTCCGAGGTGGGAATTGAACCCAAGTATCTGGACTGGCAGTCCATCGACACAACCACTGGACTATCTCAGTGACAACGAAATGTAACATTCTAGTAGTTATCTTAGACTCGCTGTACACGGCCTTGTCATCTTGAATATCCGCGAAAAAAGAACCAATACCAAATTGTAAGCAACTTACAGCATTGAAACGTACCCGTTCTGACGTCACCAAGGGCTGTGAAGTTTTTTCGTTTCTAAGGGCGTTGCTATGGGGTTATTTCGATTTGGGGGGATCAGACAAAAAAAACAACAACTGATTTTGAAACCTTTAGTAGTTCTCTTCTAATATAAAATGGTATTAAAACTGTATTTCTAAATAAATCAAACCCGTCATAAGGTCTTTAAATCTGTGGGAGAAGTCGGTGAATCCAGCAAGCTCAAAAAGAAGCCGAGTGTCCGACTTTGCAGGATGAGGTGTCTCTTTACATCACTCAAATGCATGCCATGGCAGATGACAGAGACCTACTGGGCTGGTGGAAGATCAACTCCAATGTGTACCCTAAATTCTCCAAACTGGCCAAATCGGTACTTTGCATCCCTGCAAACAGCAGCAGCAGCAGTGAGCGGGTTTTCAGCGCAGCAGCCCGCACCATCAGTGAGCGCAGGACAGCTCTTAAACCCTCAACAGTGGATGCTTTCATTTTTCTTCATGACTCTATGTAGAAAGAACCACGGAAGTACGCCATAACATGTATACAATTATTTTAGTTTATGTGAGGAGGACTGACCAATTATTTATTACGCAGATACCTGAGGCCTGTTGCTGCTTGATTTTAGGTTCAATATTTCTTTCTTTCTTCTATATCTTTATTAAATATTTGTTATTTAATTATCTCCATGTTGTTGGTTTTTTATTTGTATTTGTACATATAATACCCTTTAAAATTGTACGGGATCGGGCTTAATATTAGCGGGCTCGGGCCGGGTCGGGCTTGATTTTTCAGGCCCGAACAAAACTCTACACTGAACCACCATTTCTGAACATTTCTGGACAGTCGTTATCCCGCTCCCTATGGACCACAGGCTCACATGTGAACTAAACCAGTATTTAGTCCTTAGAAATCGAGTTTCAAACTAATGACAAAATCAACTATTAACAACAAACAAGATAAACAGAAATTAATTCTATATTAGCATTGTCCAGCTGTAGACAGTCTATGTTAGCATTTTCCAGATGTAGACGGTCTATGTTAGCAACAAACCTATGCCACAAGGACAACGGGAGGCGCCCGCAAAGCATGATTTATAAATAGTAGGAGTGTCAAACGATAAGAATTTTTAATCAAGTTAATTACAGCTTAAAAATGAATTAATCGTAATTAATTGTATTTAGAACTATCTGCAAAATTATGCTATACTATTTTGTACATGGTATACATATGTACTGTATTTGTTTATTATAACAACAATAAATCCACATAAAATAGCATTAAAATTATTAACATTCTTTCTTTATGTAGTAGACACAAACCAAAACTATTGTTTGTTACAGGGATGAGGGACATTTCCCCAAAAGCTCTAAATCCAGAATGTCATTAAATATGTTTAATTTGCTCACAACATTTTACTTTTGGGCACAACCAACATGAACTGGTAATGCAATGGAAAAATTAGGTACCCCAGCTTTAATTTAGAAAGTTTAGTTGCACTTTGGGAAGAGACACGGAGGAGACACAGACACTTCCTGTGGCTGCATAGCAGAGATGGGGACTCGCGAGTCGGACTCGGAATCCAGTCCGACTTAAGTCGCAATTTTTAGAGACTTACGACTCGACTCGGACTCGTCCCCTAAAGTCTCGGGACTTGACTCGGACTCATTGTTTTTGGACTTATGAAGATTGCGGTAAGGGTGCGCGCTCTTTGGCTATGCACGCTCTTTGGCTGTGCACGCTCTTTGGCTGTGCACGCTCTTTGGCTGTGCACGCTCTTTGGCTGTGCACGCTCTTTGACGGCAATCGTGGGTCGACTGTGCGGGTCACTTTGTGCCTCAGTTGTGTCTGTGCTGTGAGCCGCTCTGACAACGCGGTAGCGTGCAGCCAGTCATAATGTTCCCAGGACCATACACGCGCACAAGACGTACATTTTCCCTCGCATTAACAGCTCATATTGGTTGTGCCGATAGTAAAATGCTATAACAAACAAACAGATTTAATGACAGCCATTGGCTGACATTATGTATTTCAGACTTTTTTGAAATGTCCCTCATCCCTGTAACAGACAATTGTTTTGGTCCTGTGCACTCACTGTAGTGACATATTTGTTTCTCTCTCGTAACGTAGACCAGGGGTTCCCAAAGTTTTTAGCCCGCGACCCCCATCATAAACGCCCTGCTAACCCGCACCATCAGCCTGACCCCTGATACAAGTGACTTTTCTCCCCCTCCGGGTTTTTCTGTTGTGGATATTAACCACGTTTCATTTTAAAGCAGGTATTATTTATTTGTAGCCTCCAAACACCTTTAGTTTTAGCAAACAACAGCAGGACACGCTTTGCCGCTGCGCATGATGTGAGCTGTGTTACGTGATGATTTTGATTGACGCTGCAATGACTGGGACAAAATTACTAACGTTATTAAAATATATTATAGTCTCCAAACACAATTTAACAAGTAGTCCTTTTGAATCAAATCAAATGCTAAATAAATATTTAAGGGCTTTATATTTGCTCAAAAAAAAAAAATCTTTTTTGTTTGTTTGTGTAGAAATCATCTTGCGACCCCCCCAGGGGTTCCCGCGACCCCCCGGGGGGTCGGGACCCCCACTTTGGGAACCACTGACGTAGACTATTGCACTGTATTTTAATTGTTGAAACTACATACATCCTGTACAGCAGAGGTGCTCACACTTTTTCAGCATGCAAGCTACTTATAAAATGATCAACCTACAACAAAAATGCAAAACATATATTTATTTCTAAATATATTGAGGATTCTTTATATCTACAAAGATATCTCTGACGTCCGGTCCTGCGTTGGGGAAAAAACACAGAAGTGGCCAGAGCTTTGATGCTGACGCCGGTACTTCTGTAGCGGCACTTACAGTCATAGTAGCAATGCAAGATTACATTTTTTAAATTACCAAATCAGATTTAATTTAGCACAGTATTTTCCAGCTCAGTAAGAGGAATAAAACCGTTTTTGAATTATGAAAATCGGATAAGTGGTTATGATTTTATTACCATATTGTGCTTTTAGGCGCTTATAGTGAAAGTAATTTGGTTTAAAACAAAGGGATACTGTGGAACCTTCTATTCAGCCAGTTCAAGCCTTTATTCATCGTCTAAGTGCTGTAACTTCCCTATTTTACTAACTAAAAACATTAAAATTCACAGTAAAGAAGGAAACAATTCAGGGATGTTGAATTCGATATTTATTTTACAATTTGGCCGACCCCGATTCCAATATGGCCGCCAGCTTATCCAAGATGGCTGCCAACAGGATATCCGGAAAACATTTTTTTCAAACTACATATGTAATATATCAAAATGAAGGTAATTGATGGAGCAATCTAAAAATGATGCTTAGAAATGTTTTTGGCATATGCACACACACGTGTTATTTATGAGACTAAAGTTACAGACCCCAGCTTTAAACATGTGTTATTTATGAGACTAAAGTTACAGACCCGAGCTTTAAACATGTTATTTATGAGACTAAAGTTACAGACCTCAGCTTTAAACATGTTATTTATGAGACTAAAGTTACAGACCTCAGCTTTAAACATGTTATTAATGAGACTAAAGTTACAGACCCGAGCTTTAAACATGTTATTTATGAGACTAAAGTTACAGACCCCAGCTTTAAACATGTCATTTATGAGACTAAAGTTACAGACCCCAGCTTTAAAAATGTGTTATTTACGAGACTAAAGTTACAGACTCGAGCTTTAAACATGTTAACTAACCCAAACCCCCTTGTTAACATGTAAAATGGATTAGTCCAACCAATGGCATTGGTCCGTTTGGGCCACGTGACTCGCGTTTCTACCCCCCTGAAAAGTGGACTCGCCCGGACTTGCGTGCCGCTTCGGCAGCAGAGCAGAGTGTGTGATGAGCGCGGCGGTTTTTCAACTTTATTCACTGATCCGCGGGTCAAAACAACCTTGACATGATTCAAATATACCATCATTCTAAAGCTTATAATCTTAGATGTATGTGTGTGGTGTTGGTTTTCCAAAATCCCGGTTACTTACCGTGTATTTTGCTATTAAGTTTGTCGGATTATATCTCCGTAACCGCAACAGCTGGAGAGATGCCGCTTTCACCGTAATGCGCTGTAATAAGTGATGTGTTTACCCGGTAAATATCACCTCGCGGCGACGTCATTAACCCGCGCGGAATGCCGAGGATATCCCGACTCATTTTTTTTTCAGAGTCCAGACTATCTGTGGCCCACTCTGCCTCATATTCAACTTTATTAATTCATATCTCAGGAAATAAACGGAATATCAGAACAATACACACATTTATGGATTCTATGAATAAAAATATGTTTATTGATAGTGGTGGTAGCTATATATTCTGATTATTTAGCTGCTCAGAATCATATGAACTAAAGTGAGTAAGACAGCGACCTCTTTTCACCACAGCGTTTCCACTGAGTCTTGCATTGCTAGTCATAGTAGAAACTCAGAGTGAAGACATATGTTTATAAGCACTGACCCCCGTCCGCAGCCCTGATTTAATCCTGGTTTAGCTCCTGTTTTGGCTGTTTTCGAGCTTGAGTAACCGTGATCACTTTGCTGCTCTCTGATGTGGAGGATGTTCGCTGCTGCAAACCGCTCGCAGCAGCAAACCGCTCGCAGCAGCAAACCACTCGCAGCAGCAAACTGTTTTTAAGGAAGAAAGATCCATGCTTCAGTGATCATAGGTCGCATGTTTTGTTTGTTGTTGTTAGGGGGGCATATTGTGGCGTGCGAAATTGCAAAACTCCAGTTAGCTCTGTCTACACGCAAATGCATAAACGGATAAAAAAAATTATGTAATGCGATCTACCAATACTACCTTTGCGATCGACGTATTGAGCACCCCTGCTCTACAGTATGCGCTTCTGCATAACATATAAATAACTGTTAAAAAATGTGACAACAAACCGGGCCGGGCTGTTGAGGAGGCAACAATCTCTGGGCCGTTTTTGGTCCCAGTCCAGCCCTGGTATGGCCTGCAGGCTGAAATGTTTAAGGCTGGAAAAATGCGCTCTAAAAAGCAATACAATAAATTCATATATTTTAGTCAATTTTAAATTGTATTGGCCATAATTTTAATGCGTAGGAAATTAGACTTGGACTTGACTTGGACTTGCGGGTCCAGGGACTTGGACTTGACTTGGACTTGCGGGTCCAGGGACTTGGACTTGACTTGAACTCCAGGGCATGGACTTAGACTTGACTTGGACTTGCGGGTCCAGAGACTTGGACTTGACTAGGACTCCTGGGCTAGGGACTTGGACTTGACTTGGACTTGCGGGTCAGAGACTTCTCTGCATCTCTGCTCCATAGTCAAGCTTCAGCTGTGTATCTATTGCGTGCACTGGTTACGCAAAGACATGTACACAACAAGCAGAGAATAGTTCTGTGGTGTGTATGGTCTTGAATATGACGTGACGGCCGTGTTGTTGTCATAGCGGCTCACGACGGGTGGAACCGCTGTCCAGAGCGGACGCAGCTGCCCCGGGTCAGAACGATGTGGCCACGGAGGATGCGGAATCCCGTTCGAGTTCATACAGCAGCAAGTGCCCCGCAGTCACAAGCGTACTCTTTTTAAACTTGAATTTCCAGAGGGCCTACCTGCTCTGTTGCCAGCTTACACACGCATGTGTCCGCGGAACTCCTTGTTATTACGGGATGCATGGGCAGGTCATTCGGCCCCCGTCTAGGCTAGAATTTTAACAGCCCTAGAAAAATAGTATTGGTCTCGGCGCCTGTTAACACATTCTTTTGTCTTCGTCCCTCGGCTCAGCGGTCGGTGTTTGCAAAAGAGCATAGACATGCAGTCAACGTGACAGATGAGAGTTTAAGCTCTGTTTTGATCTTTAAAGGAATAGTTCACCGTTTTTACATACTGACATATGTTCTTACCTTACCTTAGACTAGTTAATACATACCTGTGTGATCTTAGTCCGTGCGCTCTGTCATGCAAACGGAGCAAAAACGGGAGGACAAATGCAGCCTCCTCTGTATACTGTGTAGCACCAAAAGGTAGCTCCCGCTAGAAGCTACCAAACTCTTCCAAGTGTTCCCTATTAAATGTATATAGTTACGTGACGTGTTACACTGCAAAGTATAGTAACACAGAAATGTAACTGTCGATTTTCTCAGCGGATAAAACGGGTACTATATTGTGAGGCGTAGTAATCTGAGGAGCGCTACGTCCGCGCACTAACTTCTCTCTGTACTACAAGTCACGCTGCTTCTATTGACTGAAGTGAGCGAGAGAGAAGTCTCCGGACAGAAGTTAGTGCGCGGACGTAGCGCACCTCAGATTACTACGCCTCACAATATAGTACCCGTTTTATCCGCTGAGAAAATCGACAGTTACATTTCTGTGTTACTATACTTTGCAGTGTAACACGTCACGTAACTATATACATTTAATAGGGAACACTTGGAAGAGTTTGGTAGCTTCTAGCGGGAGCTACCTTTTGGTGCTACACAGTATACAGAGGAGGCTGCATTTGTCCTCCCGTTTTTGCTCCGTTTGCATGACAGAGCGCACGGACTAAGATCACACAGGTACGTATTAACTAGTCTAAGGTAAGGTAAGAACATATGTCAGTATGTAAAAACGGTGAACTATTCCTTTAAAGCGTCCAAAAAGTGTCAGTAATCTCAGAGATATGAGCCGCTCATGAGTCTGGCTTGTTAGTGAGGCAGACACTGTCAATGGCCGCGCGGAAAATATATTCGTGATGAGCAGTGGTGCGCTACATTTTACACACATTTCAATCAATGTTTTAAAACAGGGGTCTCAAACCTCAGGTGAGTCCAGTTTTAACCTGAAGATTTGAGGAAATGGGTGGAGTCATCTGTGCTCCTGCTCAGTTTGGAACTGTTGGAAGTAAAACCTGCAGCCACATGGCCCTTTCTGGAACCGGTTTGAGACCCCTGTTTTAAAACAAAACAAAAATAATACATTTCCCTCGCTTAGAAGTTTATTTATGCTTCCCTTAAAAAAGAAAGCTGTAAGCTCCTGTGAAACAGTTCTGAGCCAGGACAGAGAATCCTATCCTTGGATTTAAAAAAGATTGATGAGCCCTGTTGTAGACACTCTGGTCTGTACCTGTGTCATCTGGTCGTCCTCCATGCTTTCCTCACATGCCGGCAGCACCGCCTCCAGAACGTGCAGAGCCAGAAGCCGAGTGCGGAGGTTCCCCACTAACGGAACTCCTTTGGAGAAGATATAAGTAAGTATTTCCTCTGGGGGACACGAGAGACACGAGAAAGACAAGAGACAAGACGAGAGACAGAAGAGAGACAAGAGACAGAAGAGGGACCATAGACAGAAGAGACAGAAGAGATATAAGAGACGCAGAGTTCAATTTTAGGTCCAGTACTTGTACATTCTTGGCGGTGTCATCAGGAGACATGGAATGAGCTTCCATAGTTATGCTGATGATAAACGGCTGTACATCTCCATGTCTCCTGATGACACCAGGCCAATAGCCTGGTGATGATCCAGGACACTTTAACATTCTACAACATGTATGGATATTTATTAACATGTGTTCTATATTCTTTTTGTGTTTTAACTGTTGATTCTCTCATTTGTGTTGGTGATTCAATAGTTTTGTTAAGTCCTCTGAGATGACTTCTGCTGTGATTTAGGGCTATACAAGAATAAATTGTATTGTATTGTAATAGATGCTCTTTTTGGACTACATTTTAGATTGAAATAATGGATGGCAGCAAACTTTCTCATCGGTCCTGAGGTCCAGGGAGATAAAGTTTTACCCAAACTCCAAACACAAGTGAAAAATCTGGGTGTAATTTGGAAGACTTTTATTCCTCTTAAGAACATCAGAAAAATAGGTTTTTGTCGTTTAAAGAACATCCGCCCCACTCTCACTTGGACCAACACAGAGGCAATGATGCATGAGGCGGCTTTGGCCCATCTTGTACAAGGCGTTGGTGTTATGAGACCAGTCCAGTTTATAATTAATGTGAACACCCAGGTAAGGCTGCACGGTATTGGAAATGAGTGCGATATTCGATATGAGTGTTTAGGATTGCGATAACGATATCATTGCGATATTTTTGTTACCTAAAAAATAGAACAGAAACATACAATCATTTTCTGTGTAAAAAAACTGTCTTTTAATCACTACTTTTAAACAAATAATGTTTCTGCTAGTAAATCAAAGTACTAATTTTTATTAAACAAAATGTTACTCCCAAATGAAGTAATCTATATTTTTAACCTGCTAATATCAGTAAACTGGTTTGTTGAAGACCTTTTTTTCTGAACAGTTTAGCATTATTATTGTATAGTATATTATATGGAGTAGTATATATAGTATAGTATAGTTTTTTCATAGATAGATAGATATACTATGAATTAGACCATAGGTTCACTAATCAATCGATCTGGTTTTAGCACACCTTAAAGCAGGCATGTCAAAGTCAAATACATCAGAGGGCCAAAAAAACAAATTGGCTGCGAGCCGAGGGCCGGACTGGTTCAATGTTTATTAACTCATTGCCTGCAATCCTATTTCAGAACAGGTACTCCCATATTGCCAGCAGTTTCTGATGATTTTTATAGATTTTTCAAGACCCACAGAATATTGTGTACTATGAAATCCGAAACCAGATTCTGAAAGAATAGACTGTCTACTTTCATCAGCAAAAATAATTTTTTTTCTAGCTTGTAATCCCCAGTTGAGTAGAGGGAAGTTTTACTGAAATCACCAAAAAGCTGAGAAAAAAGAGGCACAACCAGTGCATCTAGCTGTTTTCAAAGTAAACAATGTTAACATTAAAGGTCCTATATCACGCTTTTCTTCATGTTTCACACTCAATCCTATACACATGTGTGATATTAATGTGTATGATACACCACACAACAATCAAAGCTTGTGAGATTAGAGCCATCTCTTGTATAGAGGTGACGTCACCTCGACTCAAACGAGCTGATCCAGAGAAGAGTTTGCTCCTCTGCCTGTGAGCCCGCCTCCCCCCGCCCGCACGGTGACGTAGCATCACGCTTTTGTCGTTTATCACCTGTACTTAGTAATTTCATACATAAGAATAAACTTTTTCCAACCATGACCAGGGCCGGAGTGGGACAACATTTCAGGCCGGGAGCTTTTCATCCATTCAGGCCAAACAAGGTTCTAAATTTGGGTTTTTGTCATTGTATTTTGATGTTCTTTTAATAGTTTTAAGATTGACTGTCAAAACTTGTGTTTTCTTTATTTTTTTTTATATTGACTGTTTATATAATCTCGGACGTTTAAGGATTGTTGTACGTTGCTTAGCAACGTAACGTTTATGGAGTTTAGTGAGAATAAAGACACACACACACACACACACAATGAATTAAGTGTTCATTAGGGTATAACTATAACAAGCTAATCAATTATTGTTAAAAAAGTAGTAAGGTAAAATCACATCGTTACAGCTCATATAAAAGGAAAAATAAAAACCTGTATGAACCATCAGTTGGAGAGACCACTCATTTCAACCGGGGAAGCTACACTGGGTGCACTGCTAGGCTGGCCTGGCTGTGTAGCCGCATGGATGTATTATATTAACGTGTAGTCGACGTGTGACGTCACATTTGTTTAATTTTGCTCTGGCCCAATGACAGTAAAGCTTTGGCCAGTGTTGTGCCAGTTCACAGCTTTTCTGAACTTGTTCAAGTTCAGTTCATACATGCTCAAAGTGAACAGTTCACGTTCGAAGTTCTCAATTTTAATTCTGAACTAGTTCAAAGTTCAGTTCATTTTACTTTTTGCGAGATATTCAAATAAATATTTTATTTCACTACAAGCTAGAAATCACAATACGTGGTATATATATATATATATAATTATATATTATATCCTGTACACTGCACAGGATGTTTTGACTCCAATGCAGACAAGATTTACATGGGTTTCAATGGGAACTGAGTTGTCCCATCTCTGCTCATAAGTACAAACTGTAATGCGCTGCAGAATGTGTGTCTATACTTTATGTCAAATGTAAACGGCCCTGTGTCACTGACTTACCCCTGTGTTTTCATCACGGCACATGTGAGTCCAACAACCAATGAATAGCACTAGCATATAGCGCCGCACCGCAAGTAGTACACTGAGTCGGGGTGCGTTCACAGACGGTGGAAACCGTAGGAATTTTTAGTTTTCGGCGGAAACAGTGCGGAGAATACAGGAGGGAGGAACTTTCTCTCGTTGCGTTTCAAAAGAGAAAACAGATTTAACTCAGTTTTAAATGGAAAACAAATTGTCTGCCGTTCATGACACATAATATGAACTAATTCACGTTCAAGTTCTTTATTAAAAAATGTGTTGCGTTCAGTTCAACGTTCACGAAAAAATGAGCGTTTTCAATGAACGCGTTCTTTTGAACTCGTTCACGCACAACACTGGCTTTGGCCTGGGCCTTGCTCATTGGACCAGGCCACCAGGCAGGGTAGGAGTTTGCAAAGACCGTGAGGATGAAATTAAATTAAAAGAAAAAAAAAACATAATTAAAAAAAAAAAAAAAACACGTGATGATAGGGCAGGCCCAGGCCACTTTGACACGCAGGCCACCGGGAGATCTCCCGATGCTCCCGATGGCCAGTCCGGGCCAGACCATGACAATCCGTCACATCGAGCCCTATGTCCTCGATGCACAATCAGACCCTAGCTATTTAGTTTACAGAAGTATACAGCGAGTTAGCGTCACTACTTACAGATCGAGGGGGTCCGAGTTACGTCTTTTACCGTGGGAATAACGTGTTTCCAGATCAGCTTTTGAGTAAGTCCAGTTCCATTGTCCCTGTAGTTCTGGAACAGTCTCAGTGAAGTGTCGCAGATGAACCGGTATTATAATAGATCCATGAGATGAACAGATGAAAAAAGTCGAGCCGCTTTCTTCCTCTTAGGGCCAAATAGTGTGTCATATATTTACACCCATAACACACTTCATTCAAGTTGACGTGATCCTAACACTTTTAGCTGCTGACAAAAGCATAAAAACAGCAGCTCTATGTGGTGTCTGCGAGACCAGACCACAGACGCTGGACTCGGGAGCCGGAGCCTGTGCGCTCTGATTCGCTGTTTTGATCCGTCAATCACCTCCCGCCGGCTTTTAATTTATTTTTATTTTTATTATTTTTGACAAAAAACAGCATACTAATTGTGTATTGTTTACCCCGTTTTGACAAAAGTATTTAACAACTATTTTAAATACAAAGCAAACGGGGTCATGCGCGTCATGCAGTGTGGTTTTCGTCACTGAAGTGGACCCGAGCGTTTCTGTGCCTCACGCTGGGGAAGGAGACAGATTGCTCTCTTACAAAAGATTGACAGAATCAATGAATAAACTACTGTGGGCTTGTGTATGAAGGCCAAATAGCATTGTAATCATGTTTAAAGCAGAGAAAAGTCAAAAACCGTGATATGGGCCCTTTAAGTAATGAACTTAGGAACATGATTGCTAACTGCATTAGAACAAAGTAAAAGAGTCCGCGTTTCCGCTACTTCAGAGGGCTCTTGAACGCATCATATACAACTCCGCGTAAGTTCTCAGTCAATGATCGCGAGTGATGACGGCGCTTACCGGCTGTCTTTCATGGGATTGTAGAAGGGTTTGTCTTGCACAGTACTTGTCTTTACATGCACTGATTGTGCGCTGCGATTGCTGCTTGTCCTGCTCAAGCCCCGGCGATCCAAGATGGCGCCCTATTCAAATGAATGGTTGTGCTCAGTGGCGCTTTGTGACGGCATGGGGGCTGAAAGATTAGCGGAAGTCGCCTGAAACTCGCAAAGATCTATGGGAAACTCGCCTGTATTTGGGCATTGTCTGGTCCTCCCGGTTCTGTGCAGTGGGTGATCTCCCATAATGCGTTGCGCCAAACACGCGAGTGTGGGTCTCACACCGGTCAGCACTAGATCATATACGGAATCGGGACGGAAGCGGAAGTAAATACAACAAACTACCTATTTATGCCTAAACTTAACCAGCCATTCCCATAAAATAACCCCAACCCAGCCTTAACCCTAACCTTAACCATCTTACTCAGACGCCTAAAACTTAACCAGTCACCATTTAAGGACTTATTAGTCTAAAACTAATTCGAAAGTAGGATTGTAACTTCCGGTTTTGTCCCGATTCCGATGATCTAGTGCCGACCGTCTCACACCAGGTCTCACGCACGTGCACAGAGGGGCTCGGCTGCG